TTTTTGTTTACAAAGTTCCCTTGGTTATAGCCATAACTGTTTACAAATTTTGTATGTCTGGAATGGTAAAATTTTGGTAATGAAAAGTTAGATTTTACTTGAGTTTCAGAATTGAATTATTCGAATTGGAAACTAAGAACTTAGTAAGTTCCAAGCCTGGTGCATTCGTGGGACTCGTTACGAGTGCACGGCGTCTGTCGCGCCTCGAATTCGGGTTTTGGGGCGTGACAACAATTGAATTTCAATCTAATTTCAACTAGTTCTATTATATTTCAATCTCACTTCTAACTAAATTCTTTTATATTTTAGGCAATCCACTACTCAAACCTATCTTCAACTTGCTTTCCTCCTTTAAATAATTAAATTATTCCATTCAATAGTTATCTTGTTGCTGTTAAGATCGACAATATCATGAGTTCCAATTAGATCCTCAATATTATTGTATAGGTATTGCATATTCATTGAATAATATTGATGTAAATTTTCCAAAGCAAGTTTTTTCATTTGCACCAATGTTCCCATCATTCGTTGTATTTAATTTATTTAGTTATTTTTTAATTTTTTTATATGATTTGTTTGATTATGTGATTTCAATAATATTTCTACTTAATAAGTGAAAAAGTACCAAAATAATAATGATAATGAGCTATATCATTTTTGTTTTGACTTATATAAAACCTTTTCAATATAAACATTCAGAAAAGAGAAGATAAAATGGGATAAAGAAAAGATGTATAATAGTATTAATTATAGATGTAAAAATAAAAGAAATTTAAGAAGATTTGAAGAATTGCTCTATCGTGTTTGTCTAAAAAAAATTTCAACTAATTTAGAAGTTAGATATTGGTTATAATGAATTAATATGTGTTTGAAATGACTTTATATTCATTAATTAAAATTTAAATTCAATTATGAATTAATATTATTATATTTATTAATTACTAAAAAGGTGAGGAGAAACAAATCACAAATAGTGTAGTTTTAGAACTTGGTGGGTGGGTGCATGTATGTGTGTATATACAAGTAGTGTAGAATATGAAGATTCAATTATTCATGAATAAGATACAAAGTCCTATTCAAGATTGAATTGTAATAGTCATGGAATAATCCAAGCAAGGATTATCCCTAAGTTACATAGTATACATCTCTCAAGAAAGATGGATCTACAAACCCAAGATGGAGAGTTAGCATCAACAAAGTCTCATATGCATATGCTATTCGATCTATGCCATGCTATGTACTAGGCTTGGTGTCACGAATGCTTTAAGCATGACAAGTAGATATCAAGTAGATCTAGGAGAGTAGCATTGTACTATAGTCAAGACAATTCCTAAGTATTTAACGTGTACTATGGATAAATTCTTGGTTTATGGAGAAGATGAGGAGCTAGTGGTGAAGGGTTACACAAATGCTAACTTATAGGCAGATCATGATGATCTTAGATTGTAAAGTGGTTTTGTGTTTTGCCTTATGGAGGTCAAGTGAGCTACAAAAGCTCAAAGCAAAATGTTGTTGGTAGTTCTATAGCAAATTCTAAGTATATTGCAGCTTCTAAGGTAACTAAAGATATAGCTTAGATTTGCAGCTTGATCATAAAGCTCAGTGTTGCACCTAGTATTATTGATTCAATCACCATATACTGTGACAACATTATAGCAATGAAACTTGCTAAGGAACCTTGGTCTTACCAACAAACCAAGCATATATTGTAAAAAACTACCTTTTGTGAAACTTTGTTAGAGAGGTAACATCATGATTAGCATAGTTATGATAGAGAACAATGTCATAAACCCACTTATTAAAGTCATTCCTTAGTATAAGCATGATAGACATTTGAGAGCTAACAGGAGTCGGAATGTTTGTAGTTGGCTCTAGTGCAAATTGAAGATTATTAGAGTGTGCCCTTGAACCAACTCTATTTATACTTGTGATTATGATTATATCATATAAATATATATATATATATATATGTGGCATTCACTTATTATATACTAATAATTATTCTTCTACGTGAATTAATATCAAAAAATCCTTAAGATGTTTATTGCATTAAAAGATAATAACAGTTATCGTTATTAATTAGAACTGTATGATGCAATAACAACATTCTTAAACTGTCCATTAGTCATATTTGGAACATCAATAATTTAAAGACTATTATGTGCAATACTTTACTAAGTGGGAAGACGTCTTCTCATAAAGTCATGTATAACATATGCGTGACTCAATGTAAATGAGTGCACTAGAATGACCTACCATCAGAACACTACATACACATGTCATTAGTAACTTCTCAACTATGACATAAGTGTAAGTGATTATTGACTTGAGATTGTCATTATTCTATGTGAGGACTCGTATACTTTGATGTTATTAAAAATAGGCACTAGGAGGGGTTATGAGTAATACAGTTATGGGGGTATCACAACTCTATGAGAATAATGGGTGAGTGAAGATAGGGTTCATCCCTCCCGAGTTTAAGAGAAACACTATCTTTAACACTTCAATTGAGATGAGACTACTTGTAAATTCAAGGTCATGGCAAGAATGAAAGGTTTCATTCAATAACTATGTTTATTTTGGAAATCAAAGAAAATGTATATGATTGAGATATCAATGATAAAGAGATTGAATTACACAAATGTATCGACCATAGGTTGGTTAGTCACAACCATCAACATTAGTTTATGAATATTTCTTATTGTCACTGTAATGGAAACCTAGAAGGTCACACTCTTAGTATGCTATAGGATTGGGATATCTATAAATCCAAGTTTGTGAATATGTATTAATTTATATAAAAATTTTATTTTCATAAGAAATAGATTCATGAATTTAAAAAAATTAAATTGGTATGATAAAGAACCAAAAAATCCAAAGTGACAATTTAGTCTTTGAACGACTATAGGGCAAACCTTAGCCCATATTGGGTTAGGAGGCAAATGCACAAGGGAGTGCATGTCACCACTCCTAGTCCAATATGGACTAGGGTGGCTGGAAAAAGGAAAGAGGAAGAGAAGAAAAGAAAGTCTTCTCCTTTCTTGTTTTCTACTTGATTAAAAGACTAAATTTGCCAATTCTAAATAGATTAAAATCGCAAGTCTTCCTTTTTTCTATTAATATAAATAAGTGTAGAAAAAATAATATCTCTTATTTGTATTATAGAATTTTAGGCTAATAAATAATTCTCCACTAAATAAAAGAAAGAGAGTCGAGGGTTTTTTTATTTATAGTACTCTAAAGATTCTATCTTCTTTAAATCCCTAACCATACATCTAGATTATTGATAGAAAAATTATATTCTTAAAAAAATATATTTTTTTTACTTTTATTATGCCTTCTTAAGCTCAACAGATGATATAATTGTTTTAGGCAGCAACGATAGGGTGGTTGTTCTATTCTCTTATTTCCTTAATGGGTTCAACTTTCTCGATTAAGGATCTGGACCCCTTCAATTATTTATTGTGCATTAATGGCATCTCCACCTCTATAGGCTTATTCATTTCCCGGCAAAAGCCTAAAATAGCCCCTTACCTTGATAAGTTGGACAGTTTTAGCCCCTCACCTTATAATATAATGGTTTTAGCCCCTAACATACAAGAATGAGAGAGAAAATAACTCTTATTTGTAACATCCGTCACCGTCCGTCACCTCCGTCACTTTTTCCGTTATATTTCCATTAACTTTGTCCTGTTTATATAATAAATAAAAAATG